CCCAAGTCCCCAAGTGTTGAGTGTACAAAGTCAGTGTACAAAGTCAGTGTTTCCCAGTTGAAAAAATTGAAAAAGGTGTGGTTGGGAAATGTTGGGAGCCTGGAATTTTCCACATTGTGGTGACATGATTCCCACCATTTCCATCCAGTTCCATCCACTTCCCACCTCTGGATGGACGCAAACAGCTGAATCGCCCAGGATAGTCTCAGGTCTAGTTGTGGCGACGGGGATGAATTCCTGCGACGCAGAACGCTTGGAAGTCTTGGAACCATCCTGTGAAGTGACACCATGTGACACCACGTGACACCTTGGATGGCCTTGGATGGCCTTGGGGAATGAAATTGGATGAGTATAGCCAGATATAGCGAGTATAGCTGCTGGATGCGATCAATCCAAGGATTCCAAAGTGCATTCTCCTCTGCTTCACCATCTTCACCAGCAACAACATACCTCAAAGCTTCCGTGCATCAAGAATTGTGCATCCTTTTGCGGAAGCCTGAGGGTTTTGCTTGAAGTAGTACAACTGGCCTTGGACATCGGAATATTCCACCTGACCAGGATCAACCAGGATCAACCAGGATCAACCGAGCTGACCAGGATCAACCAGGCTTGAAATTTCAGCTGACCTCCAACCGAGCCGCGGCGCCTCCAAGTCACTCACTGCAGTCTGCAGCACAGGGCTCCAGTTGACCATGCGTTGACCCCGGAAAATGGCGCCTTTCCTCATGACAAACGCTACAATCAGCTACAATCAGCTACAAGATGCTACAAGACGGGTCACAAGTGGACAGCTTGGATAGCTTGTTTCATGTTTCAAATCTTACTGCATCCATTTCCCATCATTTCCCTTTGTTAGGAACACGCCAAGTGCTTGGCCCGCAAGTCAGAACATGTCAGAACATACACTCCAGGCTTTGGGGTTCCGATACGTTCTGAGATGGGTCTACTGAGTGGTCCCGGCTCATGCAGCCGGCAAAAGGCTTCGACCACCTTGGGAAGGAAGATTTGAGCTTGAGTTGCCAACAAAACGGGAGAAAACTTACTGAGAGATTAGAACAGCAATGCATGCCTGCACTGTGCTATTTTGATGGCAGTTGAAGTTGAAACTGCAACGTACAACTTGTAGCTGCCAAGACCCCTGCTGCTGCGCTCATGTGTTCGTTCAAGGTAAATTGCCTCAGGATTCCATGCAACGAGGCTGTGGCAGAAATGGAGTGTGATCCTCAACACTGAGTGCCGAGCTCCCTCGACCAATCGGCAGAAGCACCCAAGCGTCGCATTTGATCCACCTGGAAACTGAAGTTGACTGAAGTGGACATCAGAACTTGATGAGTGCACGCAATGGCAATCGATAAAACGTGGATCATTGGATCAGATCTATGCTGTGAATCCCACGATAGCGCCACCCTTTTCATCTTTCCACTCCCACACCTGCCACCAATGACTGCAGTGACAAACAACTCGGAAAAAGGATGAAAAAGGTAAAACATGGCACATAAAGGCAAGTGTTAAGTGTTGCAACAAGGATCTTCTGAGGGCAAAGCCCTTCTCAAGAATTCTTCTCTTCCAACTTCTTGACGCCTGGAGATCTAAGAGGATCTGAGACCAGAGGTGAGACATGGTGAGACCCTGGGATACGAGAACTGCAAGGAGCTCCTACATGCTCCCACTGTATCTGTTTGGAATCTCTGAGGGAAATACGAAGTGCCCTCAGCTGCAAGCTGCCGTTCCTCAGTGCTAATTGTAGAAGTTCCCAAAGGGCAAACACTTGGCTCCCATAATGAAACTGCTCAAAACGATGTGATGTAAATGGCATCAAGATGGACATAGCAAAAAAAAATAGGAAAATGAGTCTCCAGCTACGAGCATCTGCGTCGCAATACCAGCATGATCGGTGCCTACAGCCGTAGTTGACAGAGAAACTGGGCAACTTTGGTCCTTTTCCAGTCTAAAATGTCCAAAGACACCTGGTAGCCAAAGAGTTCGGTCACCACGCATTCGATGAAATCGTGTGAGGACCTCGATTACAGGTCACCTTTTCAGTGGCAAAGAGCAATGGATAGCAATGGTATATAGTCAAATAGGTCTACCAACTTCCTCATCTCATTCCCCGTGACTTGTGTATTGAACAGCCGAGGCTAGAACATCCTCCAAGCTGACAAACATGGCATGACCTCAAAATGTCTTCAGGTTCACTTTCAAACGCATGCTGACCTGAACATATCCGCACATGAACATGAAGGCAAATCGCACACACACTTGAATTTTGGCCCCTGGCCCATGTGAAGCCTGTAAGCTTGGAAGCGCAGTGACTTCAAATCTATTCAAATCTGGTGTTGATTCCTGTCAGTTCATTGATAGCGAGCCTCCCAGTCACATTTGGCGGTGGCATAGGCATCACGTAGGACTCTCTCTCATCAGACTCTGAAGGGACCTTCATTTGCACAAAATGTCCCAACACAGGTCCAAAATGCAAAGTCAACACTTCACCTACTTTGCCTATAGAGAATGATATAGAGAATGTGACTCTGCTATGACTCCCCATTTCAACACCATCTGGAACCTTCTCAGCCACTTCAGGTCGAAAAAAACCTGCATCTTCCCACCAACCTGGGCAAACCGTTTAAGGAGCCACTTCTGGCAACATTTACTTTGAACCAAATGCGTCCAAATGCAAGTTGCTGATATTTGGGGAACTTGGATACACTTCCGCGATTTTTGCAGAGATGCGTTGTCACAAACAGCTGAACCTGCAGCATCATGGGCATTGCGGCATATTGCGGCATAACACTGAAGCACACTGAAGCCGCAACGGTACAAATCTTTCTCCACTTCGGAATAGTCGTATCTACCAGGCATTGACCTCGGGATCTTTTTGACGTATCCAGCAGTCTCATCCTGGCCCTCCAACTGATGAAGCTGACAACTTGATGATCCGTAATGATCCATAGATTTCCATAGTATTCAGAAGTAGAAGCCTTTGGCAGCGCCAAAGGGAAACCCCACCAACCCCCATGGTCTGGGCATGGCCTGGGCATGGCCTGGGCATGGCCTGGGCATCCGACCCACTCACCACTGAAGTGGGGCACTCTGAAGCCTGTCAAAAGACACCCCAAACGAGAAATGTCGACAGAGCGGAATACTCTACGTCAATTTGATCAAGCAAACAAATTGGCTCCAAATCCAAGCTGCTGCAAACATCTTAAAATATCTTAAAATGCCAGCACGCTCTGGCAGTTCCTTTGCGCAGAGCTTGTTTTTCTCACCGTGCTACAAGTAAAGCGAGGCTGCGAAAATAATGCCACGCTTGAGGCGAGATCGACCCTCGTTCAGCTTCCTCAGCTGCGCAAAATCTCAATTTCCAATGTAAGGTCACTTCATTCTGCAGTTTTCTGTGTATAAAGCCTTGAATAAGTTTGAATCTCTTGGAGATTTTGTTTACTTCTGGCTCACATCCCATTGGATCACTGTGCGAAACGCATCAAAGTGAAGCTTTTGCCCAGAATGATTGGCTACCTGGTGCATTCACACTGTTTGGATCCAAAAATCATGACTTGAAATCTCGGAAGAGTTTGCGTGGTATCTTCAGAAACCATCCAATCCGATTCGATCCCCATCCGATCCCCATCCGATTCGATTGGATCATCCAAAGATTTCCAAGTGTCGACGCCAGCTCCTCATTGCCAATGGTCTTGGCAGCGGTCGCCAGCTCCCGGATCAACTCTTCCAATCGGCGGATCACGCGGACCACGCTGCCCTCATAGAGGTTACATTGATTCCTTAGCACATCTGAGCACTTCCATATACTTCTCCAAACTATCCATACTGGGATTGTGACAATTCTGTTTGTCACATGTTTATCACTGATGAAAAATGTGAAAATGCAGTTTTGCCATGTGTTTTGCTACGTTTTACCACAATGTGTCAAGCAACAGAAATTACAGAGTTTGGTTTTGAAAAGGGACTGTGTGCCAACCAGCCATGCTTTCTACCTACTTAAATCCACCACCCCAGCGAGCACACGCAGGGAAAAGATTGCCTAGCTTAGATTCTAGATGGCAACATATGGCAACAACAAGCCATGAAGAGCCCAAGAAATCCCCAACAGCTGAAGACATTGAACCCGATTTTTCTGAATTCCAGGATCTGCATTTCAACCTGTTTGAAAAAATTGCTGAGTATTGGAACTCTGATACCTTGCACCAAGCGGAACCTTGGAATCCCGAAAGGCATTCCTGCCAAAACCGCTGATGAGCCTAATTCCACATTGCAGTCAACTCAGGCAGTGCATGAGAGCACCCTCGAACCTAGAAGATATAATTATAATATCTAGACTGTGCTGGCTCAGACCCGAAGCATACCTGAACCCATCTGATACATATTGATACATCATTGACCACGCTGTTGTTACAAATGTTCATGGTTTGGATATGTTTGGATGGTGTTTGAATCAACATCTTGGCGAGTTCCACGGGCTTTGTGAACAACGAAGGCTTTGTTTTTGCTGCCATGTTGCTGCTTTGGGACTTGGGACTGGCAGTTTACAAGTTCGGAACCATGATTTACAATTTATAGTTGATTGATAGAGTGTTTGCCATTTCCGCCCAGCTATGCCAGCTTCCGAGAGTCATGATTTCGTGAAATCGTTTGCCTTCCAACCAATGCAAAACCACATCCATCAGCTGCGGCTTCAGCTTCTGCACATATTCTTCCACGTCAATGGGGATTTTGTTCTCAACCTGAAAAATCTGAACACAATAAAAGCTCGACAAGACCAAAGCTCCAGCAACATTGAAAATATCAACAAGACTTCCAGCAATTTCCAGCATCTTCAATCATCCTCAGCTGGGGATTGTTGGAAGTGTATGGAAATGTTTGATCTGCTGAGACCCTGGCCATTATCTCCGCAACATTTCTGGCAATGCCCTTGCAGGTCTCAAATGCTTTCATGAGATCCAAGTTGTTGGTGATTGGATCCTCTGACTTCTCATCAAAGACCAGGCAAGAACACAAAGCGATGATGTTGTTGGCATCAATGTCCGCGAAGACGTTCTGAAACACAATCCTCGAAAGAATCGAAACAGAATCTGCTGTGAGGCCTGACCTGCATAATTCACAAAAAGAACCAAGTCATGACACGTCATGACTATGACTCAGGTCCATGCCTCACTTAGATATCTTAGATTTGCATTTGCACATGCTTCATTTCTGCATATTTCTGCATATTTCTATATATATTTCTATGCCAGCTTGCAACAGCAACAGCCATGCCAAGAGTCTCGGTCATGAGGATCTCATCCGCTGAGGTGATCTCGCAGGCCATTCGGCCCTTGAGCTGCACCACGCCATCTTTGTCGATGAATTCCAGCCTTCGCAACACCCGTCGCATTGCTCGAAGGTCGTCACTCATGACCTGCGCCAGGCCGCCAGGCCGCCAGGCCGCCAGACTTGGAATCTTGAGAAGCAAACTTAGTACAAAACGTATATTATCGTATAATAATGTATAATATTTGTATAATATCGTATATTGATTCTCAGAGTTTGGCAAATTGCAGTTTCGGAAACTCTTGTGAACGTCTCGTCTAACATGTTTGCTGTTGACGTGAATCAAACACCTTGAATTGCAAAGGGCAAAGGGCTCGATGCCCAGATACAGTATGCCTTCCCAAGATTGGTTGGCATGTTTTGGAATCTTCCATTCACAACAAACACACATGCTACCTTATCAAAAACATTCAAAACAAACACAGAGTGGTGGCCAACGTTGCCAAAGACCAAGCTACCATGAAGCGACTCTGATTGATCTGCTTTTCCAGGTCTTGTACTTGTCTGTGCAAATTCACCTTGCAGGTTGGGAGCAACAAGAATGGGGGAAAGCATGGAAAAACAAGAGCTACTGCTATTTTTCAACTCATCAAAAACAAACTTAAACATGTTCACTCTTGTGACTCTTGTGACTCGTGTGACTTTGGCATGCCAAGGTGCCTTTTTGGAAAAGCAGTCATAGTACAGCTGCATCTTGTCATGGCCATGAAAGCTATTGGTGGACAGCTTCTTCTGCAAGTCTGCGATGGTGGCAACCACGCTGTTCATCTCCTCAGAGGCGAAGCGGAGAAGTCACTGAGAAGTCACTGAGAAGTCCCGAATGCTTCTTGATAACTTTAAACTTTAAATATTTCTTAATGTGTTTGACGTATTCATACGTATTCAACGTGTTTGCACATGCCTATGACCAACCACGTGCTGGCCAAGAAAACCCACCAACAGAGGAAAACCTAGGTGTTTGATGGTGTTTGTCTTTGCATGTTTCCAAGGCGAGAGTGTGTTTCGGAGTCTCATGATGAGTCATGATGAGTCATGATGTCTCATGGAGTCTCCTCTGATTTGATGTTCATCTCTCCAACAGGATCCAGCTCAGGAATGCCCTGCTTGAAACTCTTGTGGTTCTTGATCTGATGCAAAGTCTTGAGCAGCGCCCTCCGAGAATCGTCGCTGTCCAGGTCCTCAGTACTCAACTAATCTCAACTATACTCAACTTTGTCGCATATTTCAATGAGTTAACGTCGCCAATGCGACACTCCGAATATCTCCGAATGACACAGAAATGAAATCTTTGAAGGACATTCTGATACAGTCTGATACACGTTCTTCTTTTGTTTGTCTGGATTTGTTTAATTTGTTAACATCAAAATCTTGAGCCAAGCATCGCCTGTCGGCATGTTGGATCTTATCTTACTGATCTTCTGCACCAATGTCAGTGCCATTGGGAAGATCCGACCTTCAGCTTTGGCATCTGCCGGGGGTCGGTCTTTGTCCTCGGGGTCGCAGGGGAGGAAGACGTCCAAGACCCATTGCGGTTCCGAGTCATCGAGCACCGAGTTGTTCTCAGTGAGCTTTTTCCGTGCAGCGCTGATGAGAATGCCCCAGCCCCAATCGGTGTCACCATCCTTCATGCACCTGACCAGTGATACCAGTGATACCAGTGATACCAGTGATACCAGTGATACCAGTGATACCAGTGATACCAGTGATACCAGTGGCTTCAAAAAAATCACGGTGGCTGTTTTCATCTGTTTTTCTGTTTTCATTTTTCAGTTCCCAACATTTCCCACAACTGAAATGGCGTCTCCCAAGCCCAGGCACACAAGCCGTCCTGGATTGAGGAACGGAGCAATGTGCTCAGGTCGGATGACGATCTCCCGCCTCTCGTCGATCTTTTTGCTCAGCTGTTTGTCGATGTAGTAGTAATCTGCAATGGCTTCATCCACATTGAAAGCGTAGCTGCTGTCATCGTTCACTGCAACACGAAGATCCTCTAAATTTGCAACTTCTGCTTCCAAGTCTTGCTTTTTGCCTTGGATCTCCAAAGCAGACTTATCCTTCTGGAATTGGTGGAAGCTCCTCTGAATCATGTAGTCTGGATCAGCACCTTCCAAGCGAAGGAGATTAATGAGCATGTTGTAGCCCAAGTGAAAGGCACTGTAAATCTTGGAGGATTGACCCATGAACATCTCCTTGGCAACATCTGGTTCCACCTTCTCATCAAACATGATGATTGTGAGTCCCCGGTCATCTTTTCCTCGTCTGCCAGCACGACCGCTCATCTGAATGTATTCTCCTGCATTGAGAATGCGGTATTCAACACCATCCCATTTGCGGGTGTTGGTAAAGACCACTGTCTTTGCAGGCATGTTGATCCCCATGGCAAAGGTCTCAGTGGAGAACAAGACCTTGATGAGAGACTCCTGAAACAAAATTTCCACGACTTCCTTCAGCATTGGGAGCAAGCCACCGTGATGAATGCCCAAGCCACGGCGCAGCAGTGGCAACATACTCTGCACCTGAGGCAGTTCACGGTCTTCATCGCCCAAAGTCATGATGGCGTTGTTGAAGACTTCATCGATGAGTCGCTTCTCATCGTCATCCGTGACATCCATCTTCTTCAAGGCCACTGCATTGGCCTCACACTCCTTCCGGCTGAAACTGAAAACAATCAAAGGCAAATAGCCTCGGTCACTACACATTCGCACAATCTTCTCCAAGTCGCCCAAGTTGGCTTTGCCCTTTCTTTTCAACATCTTCTTGGTGTCCACGTTGGTAGATTCTGCTGCACTCTGCAAGGCTGTCAAAGCTTTGTGGAAATTGTCTTCCCGAAACTGACCTTTTTCATCTACCACCATGTACACTCCATCCCCACCAGCTGGAAACAAGTAGTGCTGCAGTGGCACAGGGCGCTTGTCTGTATAGATCACATGACAAGGCTGATGTTTGATTCGGCAGATCCATTCTGCAAATTCCCTGGCATTGGGGATGGTCGCAGACAAGAAAACCAAGCGAACGGAGTCTGGGAGAAGAATCATGACCTCCTCCCACACCACTCCACGATCGCGATCTCGCATGTAGTGCACCTCATCAAACACCACCCATGCCATTTCTCGGGAAACATCTGAGCCTCGGTATAACATGGATCGTAAGATCTCGGTGGTCATGATCATGCAGGAGGCATGAGGGTTGATGGTCACATCACCTGTCATCAAGCCCACGTCATTGAACTCATCTTGCAAATCTCGGTATTTCTGATTGCTAAGAGCTTTGATGGGAGAAGTGTAAATGATTCGCTGCTTGTCCCGCAGGGCCATAGCAATAGCATACTCTGCAACAACAGTCTTGCCAGCAGAAGTGTGCGCTGCTACCATGACCGATTCTCTTCTCTCCAAACAATTCACAGCTTCTTGCTGGAACGCATCCAACTGAAAGGCATATGATTTTGCTGGTGTACCTGGTAATGGTGGCAAAGCCTGGCCCGCCAGTTCTGCAGGACGGACACATTCATGGACACAATTACCACCAGAGACCTTCACGTCATAAGTCTCTAGCACTGTCTCTGTTGTCAAGTCTGCCTCCATCGTTTCATCTCGGGGCTCTGTGCCATTCTCTCGTCTCCTCTTTTCTGCACCATTCTCCTGACTGATGGGCTGACGCTTCGCCATCGCACGCAAAGAATAGCAGAGTGAGAAATGTGTTTTGCGATTTTTACCAATGCCTCCAATCCTTTCTTAAACAACGTTCAAGACGTGTCAAGTCTCATTTTTCTCAGCGCAAGTTGCAATCTTGCTCATGGTGAAAAAGGAGCAATCATCAGTGGACTCATTTGTCACAATGCCACAAGTGCAAAGCTCTGGTTAAGTGAGCATTGAGAGCGCTTATCTAAGGCGAAAAAGACTTCTTGTGCAAACTACTTGCGGCCAACAAACAGGTCTGTCACAATCAGCTTGAGAAGCACAGCAGCGTGGATTGCAACCATTAACACAAATGCTCTGAAAATCTCTGAAATGAAATTTTGACTTCAAGAACAGCAGCTTTGTCTTCCCTGCAAGGGATGACAATGAGGCTTGACTCAAGCGTCAAGAAAAGGCTGAGGACTGCTAGACATGTTCTAGGTATACTATCTGCTATGATGGGATGTGATGGTTGCTGTCATTTCCCAAATCTACCAGATATGTCACTTGGACTCTGCGTGCAATCACCATCTGAATCATGCGCCTTCCCTGCTCCATCGCATCGTTGTAGCCGGGTGTGCGCCCCTTGGCATTTCATGTGTTGAGGTGTGTCCACAAGAAGTAGGACATGATCTGACACGGTTCGAGCACCTTAAAACACAGTGGAATGGGTGCAGTCCATAGGGTCGCAGGGCCCTTCATGCAAGAGTGCTGCGCCAACTGTGAGATCCAATGCTTTTCAAACCTGCTTGTCACCCACCGGCCTGCATCTTTTCATTGCTGTGATCTGGTTTTGATTTTGTCTGAAAAATGGTTATATATTGTATTATGATATAATAATGTAATTATATATATATCTGTATGTATGTATATGTATGTATACTGTACAATATACAGTATAATTTAGCATGTCACGGATAATATGATGACTATCAAGTTGTGCAGTTTTCTTGGCCTGGTATTCTGGTATACCATATCCCCATGTATACTGCCCTATTTCCGGACCCAATGATTGTAATTAGTTCAGCATGGTTCAGCCATCTTCAATTCGTCTCTGAGCTCCCCTGCGCGCTCGCCGCGGCCAGCGACGCCCAGCACAGAAGCGAGCAGTGAGACCAGCCACTGCCAGCTGCGCCTCGGTCAAATCCGTCGCATGGCTTGGTAGCTGTGCCTTGCTGTATGATTCTGACATGAACCATGCGTATGATGCTGGTTTGGTTGCTGTAGCTGTGCCATGTCGGACTCTGGTTCTGGATTTGAGGTCCCAACGACTGGTGTCGCCTGAAACTTGGCTTCAGCTGCTGGCCTAGGCAGATCTTCATGTGATGGTTGCTCTTGAGTCCAAAATACATCCAGAAACTGAAAACAATGGCTGCATTTTATGAGACATAGTGGGACGATGTGACAAAGATTCAAAACATCGAGCTGGCACATCACATATATCACCACATTTCACCTGGTTCTGAAGCCCCGGCCGCGCTGATCTTGCAGGTGCTTGAGGAACCTTGCAGATATGATCGCGGTGCATGTCAAAGCAAGCCACTAAAGTCAAGGCTTCAAGGACTGGTCAAAGAATGGTCAAAACATGTCAAAACATCATGTGAATTGCGGTGAACATCCGTGAACTGTCGCAAAGATGGGATCTTTCCACAAATACATCCCGACAAGAATCATCTGTACTTGCCAGTTGAAATTAGTGAGGATAGTGACCACTTTACTGACTCCTTTGATCTTTGGTCAGATCTCAAACCGATGGAATGTGTAACAAATAATGGTCATCAGTAGCGCTAGTAGCGCTGCTATGAGGCCCTTGCTGCTGTTGCCCGTAAGGGCACCACAAATGCCATGGCATCGATTGCTGGCATGGCTGCAAAGATCAGGATCTTGCGTTTTTACATTGTCAAGACCTGCTACAAAATTATGAAATTGGATCCTGGCTTCACTAAGCCAGAGCATCATGTGTCAACCCACCCTTTTTCATCAGGCCTGTGTGTCGTGGTCGTTGATTTGACCCAACGGCTGGAGCGAAGCAACTCTACGAACATCAGCACGCAAGCCATGCACCATCATGCTACAATTTTGGGAGCATACAACACTTGAGCGACCTGGCCCTGGCTCTGACACAATCACACAAAATGAAGTTTTTCGGGCCAGTTTCAAGTCTTTGAGGTTGACTCAGTCACCTCCATGTCTTCTGGAGGGTGATCTTTGTTCGTTCCTCCTCTTCCCTTGCTTTGGCTTCCTCAAAACATAGCAAGAACGACAAATGCGCTGGAGGAGTGTCGAAATAGCGGCAAATAGTGGGAAAGCATGGGAATTCAGATAGCGGGAAATCACTAGGCATCACGAAGAAAACGCTTCTAGAACCCATGAGAATGTAAACGACAATTCATGCACTGCACTCTAACATACTCTAACTATGGCAAATAAATCTGCAGTTTTTCTGTTTTTCGTGCATCGCTGCGATCCCTCCTGTCAGCAGGCAGCGCAAAGCAGCGGTGTTTACTACACTTGCCTGGAAAAGCTAACATGAGGGATGGCACCAAAGTCCGCAAACCAAAGCTTGCAAAACTTCGACTATCGACTATCTCACAGGAAACCTCCGAATCTTCTTGAACCAAAAAAGTGGCAATGAAAGGTGCAAGATGGTGCAAGTCGACTCGTTAAAGATTTTCTAGGATATTGGCTTTCTCGGGCTTCCAACCTTGGGCTGGAAGTGAAATCTTAGCATATCTTAGCACTCGCTAACATGCTCGTGCCAAGGCCAAAGGAACAAAACAAGGCCATAGATATCATAGATTCGACAAAGCAATTGCCATAATAATTACAATATAATTACAATATAATATAATATAATTGCCATGCTTACAGCAGACTAAAGCTGCAAAGCGCCATCAGAATTGACCCCTGCAATGCGAATCCCCTGGAGGTGGCTTCACTGGTTACCGTTGTCGGCGAGTCAGCCACGAAGGAAGTCGTGGATTCCATGGACGAGGTGCTGGCAGTGCTGGCATCGGTATCATCGGTTGCTCCAGTAGTGGAGGCAGTCGCCGAAGTCGCTGATGCCGTGGCCGAAGTTGTGGAGGCACTGGCTGTGCTGGCCGAGCTGGCCGAGCTGACCGAGCTCTGTGCTGTGCTTGTCCCGGATCCACCTGCGCTGGTGGTGGTCGTAGAGGTCGTAGAGGTCGTAGTGGTCGTCGTGCTCGCGGTGGTCGTCGTGGTGGTTGTGGTTCCACTCGTTTGGCTGTTCGCAGTGCTGTCCGCTGAGTAGTAGATCTCACTGGAGCTCAATGCTGGAAGTTCCTGAACGTTGGTGCCCATGTTGGAACCAGTTGCATCGAAGCAGGGACAATAGCGATCATATTGCACGTTGCCTGTCTTGGTTGTCAGCGTGGTGCCGCTGCCGCCATCATTGTCACAGTCGGAGTACAAGCTGCGGCACACGGCAACACTGACCAACCCCCCGCTCTGACTGGGACCATGACAGCCCACAGTGAAAGGAGCTTGGTCTTGCACGTGGTAGTGGTACACTGGGGTGGCTGAGTCAGGTGTTGGACCAATATGAGCCCCACACGCATCCAGCAAGGGTAGCCTCTTCAAATCATAGTCTTCCCATTTACCATAGATGCCATGGGAAGCAACGTCTCCCACCTTCCTGAAGATGGCTTGACTCAAGTGCTCAAGTCCACCATGAGACAAAGTAGAAAAATGCAGCATAAGGCAGCGTCTTCTGTTCTCTATTCTAAGTGTTTTTTGTGTTTGTGGTTCCGAATAGTGTCCAAGAGATAAAAGGGAAAGGAGGAGGATGACAAGTGATATCTCGTGTGCAGTTTCAACCCACGCAAGTGAATGCCAACATTGATGCAAACAATGACTCAAAGTGACTCAAAGAAAATCTGTTAAAATAAGAATGATAAGGAAACAATTCAGCAAGGACAACATGAGACAACCCAGCCAAGTCTCGTTGAGTGACCACCAGATTCAGCGTACAAGCAGCTGAAACCTCTGTGAAAGTGGTAGTCATTCGTGTGACCACCACAGGGGCCAACCACCCCGTAGTAAGTGTTACCTCCACAATGTCCAAGCAGAGAAAATGCGGCAAGGCACAAAAAATATCAAAAAAACAGAAACGAACAAGGGCATCCCTGGAGTATGAAGCATCTTGTAAGCCTCAAAAATAATAGCATAGGCAGCATAGGGTCTTAGTTTCCACAGAACCACTGATGTAAAATAATGGTTTTCCATTGTTTCCACTAAGTCAGCCGAATTCACAATCAACATCAATCAACATCTTAACTTAACATCCATTGCCTATTGGAATGCCAAACAGATCATCCCTGCCTACAATCCGAGGGAATTCGATGTTGCAAAGGTGAGCCACACGCTTCTCAGCGATGCCAATATCGGTTCCACCTTCGGTGTCATAGACGACCTTGGTCCAAAAACCCGTGGCTCTTAAAGCCTTGTACTTGACTGATCTTGACTGGACAAGTGCCACAGAATGGAAGCTGCAACCCAAGATATAAACCTGATTTCTGGCTTCAACATCATTTCAAAAATATATCAAACATTCTCAAACATCCAATTCAAGCGACAGAAGGAGTTGAACAACCCCAAGTTGAGATGATATTGTCCTGCTGCGAGGTAAATCCAGCCTCAAAAGGCCCAAAGATATGCGCTCCACTGCTGATAGTGTCACCAATTGACAGCATCTCGTGATTGTAGGTCTCCATTCCAGCCACACTGGTGCAACCAACGTCGCCCAACAGGGGCGCGGCGCAGGGAGGGCTGCTGCACGATGGATTCGTGCAACCAGCCGTTCCACCCGAAGGCGGAGAAGGGCCAGTGCCACCAGTGCCACCACCTCCACACCCAGCAGGAGGTGGTCCAATGCCGGGACCCCAAGTTACTCCGTGCCCAGAACAATCCTGGCCTGAACAGCCAAGGGCAGCTGCCAACAAAATAACTTTGGCCAACGCCATTGAGTTTAAGCGTTTCACTGATCACTTAGGGAATGAAGTTCAACCAAGCAAAGTGATGTTGCTGACTTTGGCTGTGACTGCAAATCTAGCTGTTGGCATGTCTATGCATGTACCAGTATGTTTTGAAGGCATTTGTCTCGTGAGATCTCTCAGAGTCATGCTGGGTTCAGGCTCCAATCTAAGCCAAAAGGCTACCAGCCAAACATAGCCAAACACCAGATCACCAACTCACCAGCTGACATTGAAACCCGACTCATCGAGTCATTGTCTCTCTTTCAAAGCTTCCCACACATTGAATTGGGAGTGCGAGGCCCCATATATGCCCCGGAAAACAACGTCACGAGCATCAACACGGCAACCATGCAACATCATTGAAAAGAGTGCTACTAGTACAAAATCTCTCTGTTGGATGCACTGCTTTTTCTGGCCTCAAACCGAAAATCAAGGAGTAAAATGTCCAGCTATGTTCAGCAACATTGTGTGAAAAAGTAGGGAGATGTAGGGAGCAAAGGTGAAACTGCAATTTCGTTCTCCAGGTCGAAGCATCCATAGTTCTGCGATGTTCTGCGCAACCTGCCACTGTGAAGTCACTGCCAACGCCTCCATGAGCCGCAAAGACCTCGTTAAGGTGTCCTTGTTTGAGAAACAGCTGCAAGGAACGACGGCAGATCCCTGCAGCAAATGCCCATGTCGTGCATTGGAAATGGCGGACACTTCCCAGGCCATCGATCTGTGGAGCATCAAGTTCAATGTTCAGCCCATCAGAGCCAAAGAGAGGAATCGAGTTCAATCTAAGTTGAACTTAGCTTCTAGCATTCTAGCAGAGTAAGGAGTTGTCGCGACGTCATTGCTGAAGCCAGGCTGGATCACAGAGGTAAATCATGGCTCTCTCAGGAAGCACTTCAGCAAGGCCTCAGGGACCACCGTGTGACCGCAGCTCTTCTCCAACAAGTGAAACTGCAAGAGAAACGGAAAGTGACCGATGTGTTTGACCGATGTGTTTGCCTTTGCAATCCTTTGCATATGAAATGAGTAGCAAAGAAATATTGGGGAGACAGGCTGGGAGATTGCAGGCCATCAACCTTCAATTTCACTCTGCAGGAGCCTGGGATGCGAGATACTGTTGGTGATGGCGGCGGAAGTATGTCTTGCGCAACCTTGCACATCAAATCATTGCTGCATATTACTGCATGCAAGCCGCTTTACACAGCATATAAACCATGATCGCAAGCCTCATGAAAACATGGTGAGATACTGCAAATGGAGGAAAATGCAATGACTTACTTTGCACTTCACACCTTGTCATTGTCACCCGCAAAGGAATAAGCAGCTGCATGAAGATGCATCATGTCCTCACGTACATAGCAAATGATTCCAGTTGTGACTTCAAGGGAAAAAAAAAACGCGTTTTGAAATCATCTGTTGCTGCAATGCTGCAATGTCAGAGCTCCAAGCCTCATTACCAGGACCGTTGCCGTACAAAGAATCTCCAACGATTGGGCAACCTGACTGTCTCGTGAAGCGGCGTCACATTCCGCAACCGAAGGAACCGTTGAATTCTATATGTTGCAAGGTGTTCGTACCCACAGGTCTGAAGATGCAAACGACACAAAGCCAAGTATATGCAATAATTACAATAATGATAATATATGTATCGTATATACATAGATATTACTAATAATAATAACAACCTAAATGGTAAATAATGACATAGTACTAAATGTAATAAAATGTAACAATAACATGTAATAAGTTTAATAATAGCATGTGATAACAACATGTAGTAATAGTAATAATATACAATAATATTATATATATATACAATCATAGCATGTGACAATAACCTACTTCCATACTCGTAATCATATAAAATAAATGTACAACATAATAATATAATAACATACAATTAAAAAATATAACATAATAGTAGCATGATATTATTAAAAAATAAAAAAAAAGCCTGGTATTCACCACATCATCACATAATCACCTGCAGCTGTGCAACCCAGGGCAGCAAGATGCACCCGAATCTGATGAGTGCGCCTCAGCAAATGCTATCAGCAAACGCTCAGCAAACTGCTTGGTTCAGATCTGGCCTCAAGGACTCAACGACTCAGCGCCAAGCCCTGTCTGCAACATGCAAATCACCAGGGGCTCAGAGCCAAGGAAAATGAAACGCGTTTCGCTGGGTTTCCCGTTACCTTGGACTTGAGCTCCAGAAAAAGACCAAAATGAGTGAACAAATGCGAACAGAGTGGAGAGCGATATCTATGTAGTCTATGTAAATTTATGTAAATGTAGTCGTGTAAGCGCTCTTGAATAAACATCTATTGCACGACAGGAAGCACCGTTCATACAGTTCTGAGCGCACTCAAAGGTTTCCGACCTGTTCCTGGTAGCAACTCAAGACTTGAGGGACTATAGGGACTGTTTCTTGTGGAAGAAAACATAGGCCGCCAGGACACTCAAATCCACGACCACGGTCAAGGGCTGATTCGGCTTGTGCTTCTCCACCCGCAGTGGAAGTCGGCAAATGAGCTCCTGGTGATCCACGATTTTTACCCGCTACACCTGGAAGGTCTTAGATGGTCTTAGGCTTGGGATCGTAATGGATCGTCTATTTCATTATGGTTTTTGGATGTTTTTGGGACCTTTTGCTTGGTTCACTTGGAAAAGTCTGCGAAATGCATCAAATGATATCAAATGCATCAAAATATGTCAAGATGCCTCAGCAAACCACTAACACCCATCAAATACAGAAGTGCTCAAAGGCTCAACTTCGGACCTATGTGAAGATTGTGAAGAAATGGTCCTGGCCATTCTCACGCTGTTTCTCCTCCACAAATTGCCTTAGACCAGCCATTCTTTCCAGCAGAGATCTAAGACCCTGCAGGTTTCCGACCAAATCTGTGCAGTTGGGAGGCGGCCACCTTTGGGTCGCAGCAACATCCACGGTGGAATGTACCCTGGCGACATAGACCTGACATTCGACAAGGGATTGATCCAATCCATTCGATGTAAAACACCAGCAATCCATAGCAATCCAATCCAAAAAGGGAACCCTTCAATTGCTGCGGTCAGCTTCAACACAGGGTTCACATCAATTTGCCGCTGTTCGACACTCTTTCTGGTTGTTGATAGTTTAACCTGCCGCTTACTTTGCAGAAAGTCGTGTGGACACATCGAACATCATGGAAGCATAATTGAATGTTGTTGCCTCCAATCTTTTGTAAGAATGAGTTCCCTCCCAGAAGAGCACTTCATAGTTTGAGTCTTTCCATAACTAGGTTCTGATTTCTGATATTGATATTCTTCCTTTGGCAAAAAGAAACACACAATCAAGCCATATCACGTTAAGCCGAATCTTGCGCTGGTGTCCATTTCGGCAGATCGTCGCCTTGGACATCCCAAGGCCATGCTCTTGCGCCAACGCCTGAGTCGGCATCGAACTGCATCGAGTTGGACTAATTGCGAGTCACATTTGGGGTGTATATCTGTGATTATCTGTGTATATGGGTATCCATGTGGTACCCATATGGATCATATGATATCATATGTATAATTTAGGCTGTCGCTCTAACACGTTTTCTTTATCCATTACTGCCCCCTTAACTTTCCATTACTGCTCCCTTAACTTTCCATTACTGCTCCCTTAAATTTTCCATTACTGCTCCCTTAACTTTCCATTACTGCTCCCTTAACTTTCCATTACTGCTCCCTTAAATTTTCCATTACTGCAATTTTCCATTACCTCCCTTAACTTTCCATTACTGCCCCCTTAACTTTCCATTACTGCTCCCTTAAATTTTCCATTACTGCTCCCTTAACTTTCCATTACTGCTCCCTTAAATTTTCCATTACTGCTCCCTTAACTTTCCATTACTGCTCCCTTAACTTTCCATTACTGCTCCCTGAAAAAATCTTCCATTACTGCCCCCTTAACTTTCCATTACTGCTCCCTTAACTTTCCATTACTGCTCCCTTAAATTTTCCATTACTGCTCCCTTAACTTTCCATTACTGCTCCCTTAAATTTTCCATTACTGCTCCCTTAACTTTCCATTACTGCTCCCTTAAATTTTCCATTACTGCCCCCTTAACTTTCCATTACTGCTCCCTTAAATTTTCCATTACTGCTCCCTTAACTTTCCATTACTGCTCCCTTAAATTTTCCATTACTGCTCCCTTAACTTTCCATTACTGCTCCCTTAACTTTCCATTACTGCTCCCTTAACTTTCCATTACTGCTCCCTTAACTTTCCATTACTGCTCCCTTAACTTTCCATTACTGCTCCCTTAACTTTCCATTACTGCTCCCTTAACTCCCTTAACTTTCCATTACTGCTCCCTTAACTTTCCATTACTGCTCCCTTAACTTTCCATTACTGCTCCCTTAATTTTCCATTACTGCTCCCTTAACTGTTTTTCCATTACTGCTCCCTTAACTTTCCATTACTGCTCCCTTAACTTTCCATTACTGCTCCCTTAAATTTTCCATTACTGCTCCCTTAACTTTCCATTACTGCTCCCTTAAATTTTCCATTACTGCTCCCTTAACTTTCCATTACTGCCCCCTTAACTTTCCATTACTGCTCCCTTAACTGTTCCCTTAACTTTCCATTACTGCTCCCTTAAATTTTCCATTACTGCCCCCTTAACTTTCCATTACTGCTCCCTTAAATTTTCCATTACTGCTCCCTTAACTGGGGGGAGTTAAGGGAGCAGTAATGGGGCCCCTGGGGGCCAATTTGGAAGCCAATTTGGAAGCCAATTTGGGGACTCGAAATCATGGATTTTTGGCGAATTTTGGACCCCCAAACGGACCCCAAAACCTCCATTACTGCTCCCTTAACTGGGGGAGTTAAGGGAGCAGCGAGTTAAGGGAGCAGTAATGGTTTTTACAACCTAATTCGCATTACTGCTCCCTTAACTTTTTCCATTACTGCTCCCTTAACTGGGGGGAGTTAAGGGAGCAGTAATGGGGCCCCTGGGGGCCAATTTGGGGACTCGAAATCGTTTCACCAAATTCGGCATAGCATTTTGGCTTTGGTAGCTTACGGTCCCAGACTTTGCCCTTGACTTGATGGAGAAAGTTAAGGGAGCAGTAATGCAGAAAATGGAGAAAGTTAAGGGAGCAGTAATGCAGAAAACGGAGAAAGTTAAGGGAGCAGTAATGCAGAAAATGGAGAAAGTTAAGGGAGCAGTAATGCAGAAAATGGAGAAAGTTAAGGGAGCAGTAATGCAGAAAATGGAGAAAGTTAAGGGAGCAGTAATGCAGAAAATGGAGAAAGTTAAGGGAGCAGTAATGCAGAAAATGGAGAAAGTTAAGGGAGCAGTAATGCAGAAAATGGAGAAAGTTAAGGGAGCAGTAATGCAGAAAATGGAGAAAGTTAAGGGAGCAGTAATGCAGAAAATGGAGAAAGTTAAGGGAGCAGTAATGCAAAAAATGGAGAAAATTAAGGGAGCAGTAATGCAGAAAATGGAGAAAGTTAAGGGAGCAGTAATGCAGAAAATGGAGAAAGTTAAGGGAGCAGTAATGCAGAAAGTGGAGAAAGTTAAGGGAGCAGTAATGCAGAAAATGGAGAAAGTTAAGGGTGCAGTAATGCAGAAAATGGCGAAGAAAAATAGAAAGTGGAAGGGTGAGCAGTAATGCAGAAAAATGGAGAAGTTAAAGGAGCAGCAATGGCCGGGAAAATGGAGAGTCTAGAAAGTTAAGGGGAAAGCAGTTTCTAGTGCAGAAAATGGAGAAAGTTAAGGGAGCAGTAATGCAGAAAATGGAGAAAGTTAAGGGAGCAGTAATGTAGAAAATGGAGAAAGTTAAGGGAGCAGTAATGCAGAAAATGGAGAAAGTTAAGGGGGCAGTAATGCAGAAAATGGAGAAAGTTAAGGGAGCAGTAATGCAGAAAATGGAGAAAGTTAAGGGAGCAGTAATGCAGAAAATGGAGAAAGTTAAGGGAGCAGTAATGCAGAAAATGGAGAAAGTTAAGGGAGCAGTAATGCAGAAAATGGCGAAAGTTAAGGGAGCAGTAATGCAGAAAATGGCGAAAGTTAAGGGAGCAGTAATGTAGAAAATGGAGAAAGTTAAGGGAGCAGTAATGCAGAAAATGGAGAAAGTTAAGGGAGCAGTAATGCAGAAAATGGCGAAAGTTAAGGAAGCAGTAATGCAGAAAATGGAGAAAGTTAAGGGAGCAGCAATGCAGAAAATGGAGAAAGTTAAGGGAGCAGTAGTGCAGAAAATGGAGACAGTTAAGGGAGCAGCAATGCAGAAAATGGAGAAAGTTAAGGGAGCAGCAATGCAGAACATGGAGAAAGTTAAGGGAGCAGTAATGCAGAAAATGGAGAAAGTTAAGGGAGCAGTAATGCAGAAAATGGA